GCATAAGCCCAATAAACGGTTATCTTTGTATTTTCGAAAATTTCAAGTTGGAATTTTTTTAGGAGTCTTTCTACAACTTGAAAATTAAAGAGAGAGCTTTTTTCTTCAAATGAAATTTGTTTTCCATAATTTGTTCTTACATGAAGGTCACGTACAGTTTTTTGAAAATTTTACTAGTTTTTCGCGCAATACTGCTTGCAATTTGTGTAACTTAACAAAAGTACAAAAATCACATTTTCTCAAAATCGGCTCCAAATTTTTTCTTTAAACTTTTCGTATGAATTGTGCTAAATGCACTCTATGAGATGTCGTAAACACCATATTGCTCTATTCTTTGTTTTTTTCAAAAGTTACAAAAATGTATTTTTTACTTGTCTCTTATGTTGTTAATATTTACATTAGCAGCAATTTGTTAACATTATAGTTATGAGCACATTTACTTGAAATAATGACAGATAAAGCTTCTCAAAAACTCAACCGTTTTCTGTCAAAACTAGGTCAAAATTTCGTAATTTCAGAAATATTTTTTCAAGATCGGTTCCATTTTAAACACTGTTGTATTTAAGTTAATGTCATCAAATGACTGCCTAATAAAGTTTTTCTAAAATACAAAACTTTAAAAACCCTTCAAATTTCAAAATTACTGTAGCGCTTAAGAGCTATTTTCTAAAAAACGGATCCAAATGTTTTAAAGAGAATTGCCATTAAGGCACGATTCTTTAATATTCTTGAAATAATATTTCCGTTCTAATATTAGAAAACCGAAAAATTTTTAAAAAATTAAAAAAATATACTTTGGGTGGTAATAGATTGCAGCTGACAAATTGTGGCAAGTTCGTATAGCTAGCCAACACCAAAGGAAATAGGAAACAAATGCGGGAAAGTCTGTGTCATTCCTTAACACTACTAGTTTAATATCGCTCAAGTGAATATGTAGATTACAGGGATATCTTATACATTATTGCATTTGTGAACTCAAGTGATTTAAACAATTTCTTACACGTTTATCGAAATCTCAAAAAGTTTTGGGTGAAAGCTAGCTTCGAATAACGCGTTTTCAAATACTTTTAAATGTCTTTTCTTAAACACGGCTAGAAAGGTTTCAAAGAAAATGTAAATAAAAGACCAGTTTTTTCCCTTTCGTAAAATCATATTTCAATTCTATTTTTAGAGTTTTGGAGAAAATGTGAAAAATTATTTTAGGCGCCAATAGATGGCAACTGAGAAGAGGGTAGGGCATAACCAAAAATATAGCTCTGACTAAAGAAATAAAACTAAGAAGTACCAGAAACTCTGTGCCTTTCTGTTGCCCCAATATTTTATTAACAGATACAAATAATTGAGAAAAGTATATACTGTTGTAGCAGCACTATTGTCGAGTCTGAATCGTTTCGAAACAAGGTAAATATTTCTTTATTCAATTTAAAATTAATTTATTGTAGGACCCTGGGCGGGGCTTTCTTTCGGAAGTTTTCGTGTAAACTTCGTACATTGTCATAATCTCGTCTCATTACAGTTTATTGATTTTCCCCAGCAGAGGTACTATGACACAAAATCCACTTCGATGCCTGATTAATGTGTAAGTTTTAGAATGTTTCAAGCAAACTGTGAATAAGTAAACTTACTAAAAAAAGTATGGGTAAGGAAACACTCTGAAAGTGCCTGGTGTTTAGGCAACCCACCACACACCTAAGAGAGCTTACGTGTTTTGTGAAAGTTGTAATAAAGTTTCTGCCAACTAATGAACTCCGAAGTACAGATAATCTTAGGAAACATGAGGTAGAGTGTTGAGGGGAAACCATTTTGCAAAACACTGACTCGCTAGAATGACGATATACTCTCTCCATCATTGAAAGTTCTGTATAATCTCAAGCATGCATCGCCCACCCTAGACACCATCTCAATATGTATAATGGGATATCCAACACCATATCGCATGCTTCGCTTTCACTTCACAAGCATGTCTCGTATTTCCGAGTAATTTCAACAGTATACTCTACATTAGTAAAGGCCTAATTGTTCTCGCCATACGAGAAATTTGCAATACTAAAATTACGTAAACGGTGAATGTTTAGGGAGATAAAAAAATAATGGTGCTACAACAGCATATATTTTCTCTCATTATTTGTAGTAATCTCAAAAATTCAGCATGTTCAGCAAAAATGAGATTTGCGCAACTTTTTAAATATTCTTTGCTCTATCCAAGGAAACGACTTAAAGAAAAATGTTCGAGCAGTTTTTGAGAAACAAAAGTCTTTTTATAAATTGCATTTATTTTACGCAAAATTACGCTCGTTTTCTCAAAACATTTTGCACCACGTCTTTTGAAGATCTATTTTCTTAAATATATATTAATCTAACGAAATTACAAAACTTAATCCCAACAATTGATTGATATTATTCCGACAAAAAGTCTATTTGATATTCACAAAAAAATACCATAAAAACATCTTTTAAATTTTGCAGAAGATAGTGGTTTAAGTTTGCGGATTCGCGCGCCTGTATTCACGTCACAAACACAGCGCGTGTAACGGAGGCATTAAACTGATTTCAAACTCGGGCCTGCGCCCATTTTCATAAACATACTTTCAACAACCCGAGAAAAAAAAATAAGGAAAATTTGGAAACTTGTTTGAGAAAATCCTACTTTTAAAATTGCCTGTATTTAACGCATAATTACGCGAATTATATTTTCGAAATATTGTACATGTACTTATTTAAATATCTATCTTTGAAAAACATATTCCATTAAGAAATACGTTCATTCATAAATGTAATTTTGTCAAATTTTTCCAACGCAAAAAATTGAACGTTTGCAATTTTCAAACCTTCAGAGGGTTCAATGAAAATGAGCTCTTCGACATTTTTGAGCGTACTTGCTCTCTCCGAGGAAATAAATAATAAAAATATGTGTCATTTTTGAGAATACACTGAAAAGTTTACGTCTTTATTTAAAGTATCCCCTTAATAAAAATATTCGTTTAAAATTCGCAGGGTCTCGTGATTGGTAAGATCGATCAGGGGAATATCAATTTTGGAAAAAATCGCAAAATGGGGTTTAGGCACTAGTGTTGACCACAGAGGGACAGATATTTTGCCGTAAACCAACTTCTGGTTATCATGGACCCACAAAGACAAAACGTGAATTCTGGCGACACAATGTTTTAGAAGAAGTCATTTATTACATTTAGCAATAAGATTATCCACATTTTCGATATCTGGCCACAATTCGAGTGTTTCAATAGAAAAATCCCCCTTTCCGATGCTTTTACCATTTGCTTTACCATCTTTACTACGTGAGTATGTAGAAGGCGAAAGGAAATCGGTAGTGGCTTTGGATACTTACAGTGTAGACATTTGCTACAGTGCATATACAGAAGCGAGCGCAATTTTTATAGTAATTCTAATCTTATACGTTAACTACTGGGTTAGTTGTTTATTTCTATGTAATGCTAGTGTTTATTACACTGCAAAGTATTTGTCAGATACTTCTAAAAAAATATTATACTAACATCTAGGGAGCGCAAATCCCCTATTAATCGGGTTATTGCAAGCTTAGTTGCAGGCATTACGTCATTGTTACCCCTTGTGCATTAGAAAATGAATCTTCTTGACAGTGGTAAGCACATTTATGATGCCCGCGAGCCCCGTTGAGAAGCACGTTCGCGCATTAATTATAAAGATTAAATTTATAAGGTAGGAGGTGTAACAATGACCTAATGTCATCGGCCGCAATAGAAAAATAGGAGTATACATAGTTTGCTTGATTGGAGTCTGTTCGAATGTCTCATATGACTTAAGCCTGTTTTACGCGGTCGTTTTTGCATCCTTTTTTCATCATTTTTCTGCACAGAAAGTGAATGGAAAAAGGACGTTCGTTTCTACGCGCCAAGTTTCGATGCCGAAACTGGATGAAAGTCATTTAAGCGTTTTACATGATCATTTCTGGTCTTAGTACGTAATCGTGATGAAAATACTGCCTCTGGTCGCCAAAAAAAGCGCTGAAGATCAAACATTTGAACATTTCATCTACGGTAACAAATTAAGTTATGTTATATTTGGACTGTGCAGTGAACGCGGTGATATTAGAACACAGTACATGATTTATTTCTCACTCCATAATCACTTCACATTACAAATCAACACATCAGAACTCTCTCGAACCTTCAAAATGAAAAAATCGCACCACATGGATGACAAACCAGAGAAAGTTCCGAAAAATGACGCCATGTGCGCGGTAGTCAAACTGGATGAATTCTGTACGGAAAAATGAAGCATGCGTCACTTTTTCGTACAAATTACATCCAGTCTGGAATGTCACTTTTCTGTACTGGCGAAAAATGATGAAAACATGCTTGTGTAAACCAGGCATTACTAACATTTTCACTCCGGGAAAAAGAGGGAAGAAATTTGTAGGTGATTATTATTTAATTATTATTATGTATTATTATTATTATTATTATTATTTATTATTATTATTAATTATTCATCATTATTATTATTAATTATTTGGCGTATAGGCATGTAACTCGACGCACGCTCACGATTACCGTGTTGTATTCTCATCTCAGAATCAGCTTTCAGCCTGATCATTGGCATGAGACAGGGTTTGTTTTACGCTGTGTGTGATTCACTGAAATGTCGGTTGATGATAAGTGAAGGACAATCATTATTATTATTCTGGATTGGAACGATAGGAATATTGGTGAAAGTGATTCGTGACTTTTTGAACCATCCACCATTCCCGCCTTATGACCGAGGGAAACCACAACAAAACCCGGTCAGGAATGACCGGCCCGGGAATCGAACCCGGACCTCCCGATTAACGAAGTCGCGCGCTACGCACAACTTCGCTCGGTAATTACTATTATTACTATATTATTAATTATTACTATTATTATTTACTATTATTATTTACATTATTATACTATTATTATGAGGGCCAACCGTTTCTGGCGTCGAAAGGAGGAAGGGGGGGCGGGCAGGGCCGCAATACGCACCTTGCTTGAGGTCGGCGAGCGCGTCGACGAGCGCGTCGCACTGCCAGCGCCGCCCAGTCGTCGTCGCCGCCAGCCCCAGGCGCGCGCAAGGAAGCGCGCGATGGCCGCCGACTGCGCCGCCTGCCGCCGTCCACCTCCAGCACGGGCAGCGCGCCGAACCGGCGTACTGCCACACGCCACGCCACGCCGCGCCGGGCCCTCCGGCCTGGCTCAGGCCCTGGCCGCCAGCCCCGCCTCCAGGCCCGGCGGCGCGCCCCTCCGATCCCTGGCCTCCGGCCCTGCCTCCGGGCCCTGGCCTCCTGGCCTGGCCTCCGGCCCTGGCCTCCAGGCCCTGGCGCCAGGCCCCGGCCTCCAGGCCGCGGTCCGAGTCCTGGCCCTCGGGCCTGGCCTCCGGCCCCGGCCCTCCAGGCCGGACTCAAAGGCCCTGGCCTCCAGGCCCTGGCTCCAGGCGCCTGGCCTCCAGACCCCGCCGCCAGACCAAGCCTCCAGGCCCTGTCATGTAGACCCTGGCATCCAGGCCCTGCCTCCAGGCCCTGGCCTCCAGGCCCTGGCCCTCCAGGCCTGGCCTCCAGGCCCTGGCCTCCAGGGCGCGCGCACAGCCCTAACGCACTCTAGGGGGAACGTTTTCTCTCGCAAGTTGCTTCCCTTCAAACATTCCGAAGCGGCATCTGATTCGAGAAACTTTATGTCAAATTTAAATATTGTTTCGGAGAGTCTTGAACATTTCTTAGGGCAGATGATAACCAGCCCTCCCCAACCAATATTTACATCCTGCGACGGAACCGCGGAGAAGCTGTCGCCCTGCTTGATGCTTCAGTATATATGACTGTTCTTAAACTAATGAATGAGTTTTACTGTATACATTTTGTTTCTACTATTTTCTTATGTGTCAATAAATTGCGATATATATTATATATATATATATAATATATATATATATAATATATATATAATATATCCACCTCCCAATGACTGTTTAAAAATATGGAAGACCTTCGGTTTACACCCCCCCCCCCAAAAAAAATATCTAAAGCACAAATCTGTCAAGGTTAGCACTCGTCGATGTCGGTTACAGCCCGCCAGAGCAAGGGAACACTACCCTGAAAGGGGGGAATTCCGGAACAGAAAGGGGAAGGCGCGTATTGAACGGCTACAAACGAAAGGACGAATATTCACAAAATTAATTGTCGTTCAATGTTAACAAATAAATTCTCATTAGGTTATGAACAATGTGTATTTAAAAAAATAAAAATTCATACAGCCTGCCCTAACTATACATTTTTCTGTTTTACATACGATCTACTTTGTATGCGATTCACATTTTCTAGGTAGAATTATTACTATTAACATAATTCGCGATTACTGTATTCTACATTACTAAATTTTGTACTTCTTTTCAAGTACACATATCGAAACTGGGTTTCAAGGTGGCATAGCAGCTGCAAAAAAATGGAATTACTTTAATGAATCATTTCTCATGTTCTGTAGCCTTTTTTCTAAAAGTACTTTACTGCTTTTTTACAGCTTACAACGTACGTAGCACCAGCTCTCAGAGAAACAGTAAGTAATAATGAAGAATTTACGGATCACCAAGCGAGTGGGACTTCCCTAACTCCCCCTGGGGGCGTCTTATGTGGGAACTTCCCCCAAATACGCTGTTTCTCCCCTTCCGTTCGCCCCTGCCGGCGAGCAACGTGCACGAAGGATTTTATTACAGCTCGTTTACTTTTTGGCTAAGCCTGAATTATGACATTCTGACACACTCGTACCATTAAATGTAAATGATCTTGTTATAATTTATTCAGGTATACACTAAATATAAAATGGGATAACAGACGTATGTTTTATTTATGTCAGAAGTCATCACTATTAGTAGTTTGGTTAATGTTTGCAATTGTGATGATACACCCACCACACAACTTAAACCTGCATATTTTTCGGAAGGAGCTTTATCCGCCTAACTTACTTTCTGTTTAAATTTATTCCTTACTAAGTATTCAAATTACTTTGGGGATAGTTAGTGGTATAATAAATTTTTTGAAAATATCGATTTTTTCACCTGCTTTGGATTAGAAAGCCCGAATTGAGATTTTATTTATATATTTCGCGCTGCTTTATTGTTTCGAAATAACAATAGTATATATTTTCTTAAATCAACACCAGAATTCTGCCCAGTGCCAAACATTAAAAATCGCATACTTTCAAATTAATAGTTTATTTTTTAAATAAAAATAAACCTCATTAAATTGACTGCATATCTTTTGAAACTGTTAGTGGAAATGGTTAACTTCGACATTTTCGAAAAACAGGTGTAAATATTGCTAGAGGCAATTCCGATACGAAAGATATACTCGTCATTGTTTTAATGATGGTTCATCAATTATAAGCTCAGTGCGACTTGTGAAAAAATGAGCGAGATGGAAATGCACTGATAACGTCGCGTCAGCACCACTCGGTTTGAAACATAAAAGATGTAAATCGACAAATACAAATGATCGACAGTAGAACTACTACGACGAGAACAATTTTACGTGAACTTGACCTTGCAAACTGCAATCTGCCAAAGTTTTGAGCAAGGTTCCAGCATTTCTGTACTTAGAAGTCGCAGTATCAGCCGACTGTATTTGATCCACTGTGTGAGTCTCTGCCGTCCGTCACGCTTCATGCGTGGCAGCTAATTTACAAAATGCAAACTAGTTTAGCATCAACTCTTAATATTTATTTTAGTCCTTGAAGTCCTATTTATAATACGACAATACCGTTGAAGAGTTTTGCACATTCATTCTTTTGATTTTTATTGTAATGTTATTTCGTTTCAAATAAAAAGAGCACCTGTTTTATCGTTTTCTGTCGTGTGAATACGATAATTTCCATACACGCGAAGCACTATTTTGGATTCACATCGCCCTCTTCGCGCACATTTCTTTTGGCAAATACAATTTGGCCACATGTCATCGATAATTTAATTATAAACAGTCTTTAAAAATCGTATACAAGCTTTTTTTCATCTTAATCGTTGTATTATTGGTGAATTACGAGTGAATTATTGCATGTGCAGATCAATCACGTGCTTATGGCACTCACTGTATGGGCAAAGTTTAATTTTAACTAATTTTTTATTCGTTTTACTTTTACCCTTTTAAATGGACAAATTTACAGTTAACTTTCTTATTTATTGTATTACATGTTTTCAGCGAACAAAAAGATGACACAAAAATGTCATTTTGAAGGAGTGATCGAGTGCTCCGTTTTTTTCGCGGCTGAAGTTAACTTAAGTCAAAAAGAAACTTAACTAAAACATGACGAATCTCAGATGTGTCAATTTTTTGTACACTGACGATACACCCAATTTTTCAATATTATAACGATCTCCCATAGTTGAGTCACATTTACAGCCCTTTAAGGCACGCTCTAGCCGTGATTCGCATGGCATGTTGACATGCGCAGGCTGTACTCACGTTGTTTCATCTCCGCCCACTGCTCCCTCGTCACGCGCACGTCTTCGTACTCGACGCCCGCGTGCGCGAAGATAAAGCGGATGTGCTCGGCGCGGCCACGCGCGTTGAAGTAGACGAGGCGGTAGTGCGGGGAGGTCATCGTGGCGACTCGAGCCGATATTCCGGGCGGTGTGGGAGCTAGCGGCCTCGCTGCTGCTGCCGTCGGTGGTGCTTATCAGCGCTGCTCCGGCCGGCGCTCGTAGTACGGAAGATGATGGCTGCGCCCCCGCTGCTGCCGCTCCTGAAACGCGCGGGCGGCGAGTGGCGCGGCGCGCCAGAGGTCGCGCGTCCGCGGCTGGCTGACAGGCGCGCGCGCGCGCGAGCGCGAGCGCGGTCGGCCGTGCGGGCTTGGCGCGCGCGTGGCGCCGCCCGCGCGACCCCTTCCAGCGCTCGACCTCTCCGCGCTGGGGCTTTTGTACTCACACAATAGGGCGCCCGGGCTGCCGGCGAGCGAGCAGAGCTGCCCCGAAAGGGGTGGCGGCGGGTGTGGCAGGCCGCTGGGACGGCCTCGCGCTCCTGTCTGCGCTGACCGGCTGTGCCGCTCGAGCGGGGGCGGCGGAGGTGGAAGCGGAGGCGCGGCCGCGAGCGCCGGGCAGCGGGGCTCGATCGATTGCCGCCCTCGCTTCTCCGCGAGATCGTCACCGTCGCCCTTGACCTTGCCCCCCTGGAGCGCGGCGGGGGATCACCTCTTCAAGAGCTATGTTTAGTGAGCAGGCCGCGGACACGCTTTGGGGCTAGGGCTACTAATCTGATTACTGGTCTAGTGGGCCAGCAGCGCAATTAGCACGACTCAGGTTTGGGTGCCAGACGTTTCGTGTTGCAGCTCCTCAAGTAGCTTGCTGCTATCTAACAATTTGTAGTAATCTCTATCTGTACAATGCTTTAGTAATCAGTCGTAAATTATGTAATTCAATTTCTATAGAGAATAATTTATCTTAGAATTAGTTGCTTTTTTAATGTCAGAAATACATTTTATAGCCAATAAGTGAATTATTCCCTAAAGAATATTTTCTAAACATTTATTTTTTTATTCCGACATTCATTTTAACAAACGATTAGCTACCAAAAACATCAAAAGGGTTGAAGTTACATCGCGCAACACGTCAATAGACACGTGGATTTAATGTCGGGCGATCTATTTCTTCAAGCCTTGCTGTCGCATGACAACAACTGTGTCGTAAGCTGTGACGTGCTGAGTTTGAGAATTCAGTGGGTATGCGCAAAATGAGATGGCCGGAATAACGCATTCAAATATTTTCAATTTTTCAGGGAAAATCGAAAATGCATCATTATTTTTGTATTTTTTTCGAGTTCCTGGATATCTAACAAAACCGTAGACACTTACCGTAGACCGTAAGCTGCCTGGTTTTATTTTATGGCTGTGCGAATTGTAAATTAGTAAGAATGTCAGATGATCATGGTTATGCATGTGAATTGACGGGGGAATGGGAACGCCGTGGGGAGTTGTGTATCATACATTTTTTTATATTCCATGGCCACAAGATCATTTTCTACCTGGCATTGATATTTATTTAGACCAATATTTGTCAAATACTATAGGTGAGGTTGAGTATTTTAAAATAACACAGACTTTCTCGCACTAGTTAGTTTACCTGTTCTCCTGCGTCAGAGCTTTTCGACTTTGCTTCGCTTTCCAGCTTTCATTGGCTTCTAAAAAAATTTTTTTTTTCATATGTTCTCGATTTTTCGTTCTCGTAATAGTAGAGTTAAAATGTGAATTTAAGAATTTTAAAGGAGGGTTAAACCTGGTCGTATATGCACAATTACAGAAATTACAATTACAAATTTGCAAACGTTCTCGAAAAATGTTCTTTGAATGTTTCTGAAAATTTGCTTAACTTTGAGCTCATTTTCATAGAAAAGTATTGCGTTTTAAATGAACTTCATCAGAAATCATTTCAAGCACTTGTACTTCCAAATTCAATAATGCGTAAAAATTGCCCATATTCTGAATATTAACTACTGTGACATGTAATTTAAAAAAGGTATATTTTGCCAAAAACCAAAATAATAAATCCAATGGCGTTTTTCTAATGTTATTTCGTGCACTCCAAATTGTCCAAAATCTATGAAATTACTAACTTTTGCAATTTTCGAAATAATTAAACCAAAAAAAGACATGCGCCAATTCTTTCTACATTTTTTTGTTCTATAGAAGAAAAAATTAAAAATTTGGAGCCATTTTTGAGAAAAATTTGTGTGAAAAATTTTTGTGAAAATGTTGTGGCTTCAATATTTCCTAAAAAGAAAAAACGCATTTCAAATTCAAGGGGCTGCTTCATAATATAAATCTATTGGAGAGTTTTACTTAAATTCCTGCCTTGGGTTTAGCTGCTAGCGTTGTTCGTAGCCAGACGGGCAGCCACACGGACGGACAAACGTTCTGCCATAAGCTAATTTTTCATGACCAGGCATTCATAAAACTTGAAATCTGACTATATAACGTGTTAAAGAAAGTAAAATACCATCTATTTGAGATTTATCCACTTTTTCGTTACCAGGACTCAAAAAAATCTCGTCGTAAAATCGCATCCCCCGTCAGCAATACAATATTTACTGGAGGTTACGTTAGTAACATGTGAGAAAGTAAAAAATTATTAAAAATGTTCAATGAAAATTTGCATTTACTCGAATATTTTACTGTTTTTGTCATATTTTAGTTTTATTTTAAGGACCAAAAAATTGAGAAAATGCAAAAAATAATGTTTTAGGTGCCGAAAGCAGCTGGGGAGAGGTGGGGGAAAACCGAACCACTGTCCCAAACTAATGAGATCAAGAAAGTAACTAGTACGAGAAAGTCTTTCTGTAGCACCACTATTTACTTTCTCGCATACTACCTACGTAGTATGGTGAACGTATTGTCATGCTGCGCCGAAAAGACGGCCAATTTTTATCCGAAAACTTATATTTTAATGCTCTAATATAAAAAAATAAGGTAAAACACGTTCTTATATGTAGCAAATTACAACCTTTAACACGTAATGTATTCATGACTCACGTTTTGTGGGGCCCTGATTCCGAATAAATTTGTTGAGGAAAAAATATTTGTCAGTTCGTCGGTCCTTCTGTCGCTTTGTGTGCAACTCTAGAGCCTAGAACGACTCAACTACAATATTAAAGATGATTTTTCTTTAATGAAAATTGTTCATAAAAGATAGCTCTTGAAATAAGATAATTTTCAGTTTTTCAAAAATAGATTAGTTTGGCATAATTTTGTGTAAAAAATGAGCATTTTTTTAAAATAACAAATTTTCTCAAAAACGGCTTGCATTTTTTCAGGAATAGTCCATATATTTTTTTTCTGGAATAGTCAACATAAAAATGTCACAGGTCCCATGTGGAATGGATTCGGAATTTTTTTAAATTTGCGAAATATTAACACTGCAAAACTACAATATTTGTGATAAAGATTTTTATCTTTAATAAAATCCGTTCTAAAAACTTTGATCTTTAAATAAAGTTCTGTACATTTTCTTGATAAAACGAATAGTTTTACTTAAAACAAGAGAATAAAATAGATATTCAAAAACGCCTCGAATTTTTTGTCGAATAAAATACTTTTATAAACATGGCGCACAGCAAATTTTTGGGTGAAGTCTCTATCTTGGAAAATTGCAAAAAATTAACATCGCAAGCCTACGGTATTGATAATAGCGATTTTTTAAATGAAATATGTTCTTCAAAGTAAGATTTTTAAAAGGGTCATGACAATTTGATTTGAAAATAAGTAGTTTTGTATTTGTGACATCTTCAAAAAATAAAATTCGTATTTGCCACGCTTGCTTTTACTGAAGAGAAAGTTTCACGATATATGTTGCAATAGGACAATGCTAACACTGCGGCTTCGCAGTTTGATATTTAGAGAATTCCCTTTCTCAACTTCTCTTTGTTGAACTCTACCGTATCTCGCTGCTTAGAACGCACTTTCAAATTCTCCAATTAGTGCTGATGAGTTAGCTTTCAAGGGATTACACCGGCAAAGGTGGCTCAGAGCACCAGCTAAACAGCTGGGTCGAATACAGCCGCTGTCTGTAGGAGAATTCTAGCGGCCGGCTGCTCTGATCGCTAGTTTTCAGTGTTTTTTTCGATCAACACCAGGCGAATGCCGGAGCAGTGCCCTAACAAACGGGCCACGTACCTCGCGCGATCTTACCATCCTCTTCCTTGTCGTCTCATTCCTCCTTACACACTCACACACACACACACACACAAACATGCACTACATTACGTCACATGCCGGGAGACCTGTCGGGAGCTTAGAGCTTGTACCGGCCCTGTTGGTGGGAGATACTTGGTTGAGGAAATCCCACAAGCCGACGTAGGTTGGCTCCAGATCTCACCATCCAGCGTGGAAAGATCACCGCCACCCCCGCAATAAAAAATCATTCTCTACACCTTCGAGACTAATGACCTTAGCAATTGACGCGCGAGGAATCACCAATCCATCCATCTATCAATCAAATTAAAGAATGAATTTTGCTCATCGCGTGCTGCGATGGCTACCACTTCTCTGGGGTGTCATGAACGGCACCCCGAGCATCGCAACTCTTCGCAACCCTACACCTGGATGTCCTTGGCCCAACCTTGGTACTTGTACCATTGTTCTGGATGCGAGATTCAGTTCCTGAATTAAACATTGATTGCATCTACAATTGCTTCGTAGTTGTCTGTAAATTCAAGAGAATTTTGAAGAATTATGGTGTGGATGCAATACACGACGATCTTTGAGTGCTCCCCACCTACTCAATAACAACTGAAAACAATCACGTCTTACGTGGGTTATAACGCCCAGCCGTAGTGTCCACATACTACGGCTCTCCTCCCCAAACCCGTCTCATGAGGGTGAATTACTTGACAGTCCTCTAAACTTGTTGCCTTTATTAACATAATAACTAAAACTTACCTCTTATGTATAAACGATCTTTAATGTGTATCTAGTATGTATATAAATAACTTTGGCACCAATCGCTTCCATAGCAACAATTGAAAAGAGTTACTTGACCATTCAGATCTTTTTCCAATTGTACTCAGTAATAAAAAATTTTCTCAAAATGAACTAACTCAACAAATAATGTTGCAGAACATAGTATTTTGCAGATCGTAACAGTTAACACAATGTTGACTTTCAGGCAATATTTATAATCAGAAAAAAGTGATCTTGTAAATTGGTTCACAGATTCTCAATTTTTCGATCCACTATTACTAAATTGGAAATATGACTTAAAGAATTTTACAGAAGAGAAAAATCTGGTTATCTATCCAAATTTTCGTTCAAAAATTGGGAGTCGTTTTTGAGATTTTGTCGATTGTGGGTTTTTGGAAATACGCAATTTGAACTCATTTTCACAGAAATCGTTTGAATATTCGAGAAATTTCAGAAGAAATAATTTTAAGCACTCGTACATCCAATGTAAAAATGTATAAAAAGTAATAATGTAAATATAAGAGTTAAGTCTTTTTTTAAATACGTATATGTAATTTTTGAAAAAAACAAAGAAAATACA